CTCATTTATGATTACAGATGGAAAATAACAACTATAATAGAAGCAAATAAAAGTATGCAGTCCATTAAAACAAGAATACACCATGACTAATCAGGGTTTATTTCATCAATAAATTTGAAAAACAAAAACCAATAAGATGAATCATTAAATAAAATGTAATTTCTCATAGAAACTCTTAGTAAACTATGACTAGAATTTTTAATCATAAGGAATATCTTAAATCAATGGTCAATATAATACTTAATGGTGAAATATTAAAAGCAATTCCATCATTTAAAAACCACACAAAATGCCTGTTACCACCTGCATTCCTTAATATTATCCTGACACTAGGCAGTGTAATAAGAGAATGGGTGAAAAAAAGGGAACATATAAGATAAAACAGCTGAAATATTAGCAGAGCTAATAAGTTTGATAAAAAAGAAAATTATAAAATGAACCAGCAAAATTCACTAAAATCCCTAAATATAATAACAAAAAGAAAATAGAATGAAAACTATCTCATTCACAAACGCAAGCAAAAAAAATAACTTTTATAAAGAAAATATCAGCAGAAATGTACCGAATCTGTATTTTAAAAACAAAATATTATTGAGGGGCATAAAAGAATTAAGTAAATGATTTTGAATGGAAAGATACAATACTATAAAGGTGTCGGCTTACCTCATAGTTTTATATAAAACTTAAATACAATCTTTTAAGATATCACTTTGGAATTTCAATTGCCAACTTATAATTATAAGTCTAAAATAAATTTTAGAGAAGTATGCAAACACCTTAAAGAACAATTAGGAATGTGATCTTGTAATACTTACTGCCCACACTTTAAGATACTGTAAAGCTACAGTGATTGATATAGCAGAAGACTAACGAAAGTTTAAATAAAAAGATCAATGGGAATAGAACAAAAAACTGAGAAATGGTTTCAAATATGCAATCAGTATGCAGTAAAAGATGTTATGTCAAGTTAGAAGTGATAAGATGAGCTATTTAATAAATGATACAGAAATATTTGGTTAAATGCCTGAGAAAAACGATTAAGTTGTACCTCTATATGAAATTACACATCAACATACATTCAAGAAGAATTAAAGAGTTAAATGTATAGTAATCCAAAAAAATGAAAGAAAATACACAAAATATTTTATCTAATCTCAAAGTGGGTGAAGGCATTCTAAATAAACCCCCAACAGAAAAAAGAAGAAGAAAAAAAAGAGGGAAAGACTGGACAACAAAACCATAAAGTAAAGAAAATAACAAAATGTAACATATTACAGATAAAGATTAACACCATTAAAATATACAGGGTATGGCAAAAGTAAGTTTACAGTTATGAGCACACAAAACTGTTAATTCTTGTATTGTTATGTATTAATTATTGTATTGTTTTCCATATAAACAACTGTAAATCTAATTTTGCCCCACCCTGTACATTATGAGTTACAAAACCACAATAACTAGACAAATCCTTTTAAGGAAAATGGGCACACAACATAAATAGGCAATTCACAAATGAAGAGATATTTAATATAAATAAATGTATGTAAAACTCCAGTCTCAATGATAAGGCAATTCAAAATAATTCAGCAATAATATGTTATTTTCTTCTATCAAACTGGCAAGAACTTTTTAGTTAATAGAACTGCTATTGAGGGTAAGGGCAAAATACCTGCAGACACTACTAGTGAGAGCACAGAATACTACATGCTTTCTGAAGGACAGTGTGGCAATAGGTAGCAAAAACCTTTAAAGAAAGAACAACTCTTTGACCCCAGAGTTTCACTTTTTAGTAGTATATTCATTCCAAGAAAATAGTCACTAGTTAGTACTGAAAAATATTAAAAAGTTATTCATGCTCAAGGTTTTCTTTATAATGACAAATGATAAAAACAACTGAAATATTGAGTAAAAGACTCAGTTGAATTATGAGAACCCCACTTTATGCAATTTTCTTTTTCTTTTTTTTAATATATTTTTTATTGATTTTTTTACAGAGAGGAAGGGAGAGAGATAGAGAGCCAGAAACATCGATGAGAGAGAAACATCAATCAGCTGCCTCCTGCACACCCCTCACTGGGGATGTGCCCGCAACCAAGGTACTTGCCCTTGACTGGAACCGAACCCGGGACCTGTCAGTCCACAGGCCGACGCTCTATCCACTAAGTCAAACCAGTTAGGGCTATGTAATTTTTCTTGCAAAAAAAAATGACCTAATCACAGGGAAATTCACAATATATCTTTAGGTGGGAAAGACAGACTACAAAAGAATAAATAGTAAAAAGGTTGTTCTGATTTTAAGAAAAATTTTAACATGAATATACATAAATTAAAATAGAAAGGATATTCAATATAACACAAGCAGAATTAAAAGACAATTTTAATTTCTTCTGGGTTTCTATACTTTTTACAATAAGTATAAATTTTATAATGAGAGAAAAATAGTGAGTTAGTAAAAATCCACAATGATTGAGATATATAAATACTGATAACCCACAATAGTATGTGTTTCTTGGAAATAGTATTCAGATCACTTTGACACTGCAGAATAATTACAGCTAATTTAGGTGGATAATAACTGGCCTGATCTCACCTAGACTAAAACTGTACATTGAGTTGTAGCAGTGATTGGATCACTCTATGAACACTACTTTAATTTTTTCATTTTTATTATATTATTGTTATATTTTCTGTATAATTTTATGGTAAGAAAATATTAAGATGTAAGAAGAGACCATTAAGTAGACTAAATCAAAATGAAAAATTTAATAAGAATCTTATCTTCTATGCTCATAAAACTGAGAGTAGCACACAAATGACAGTTCACTTACCTCATATAAAATCCAGGAAGAAAAATGTTAAAGTATTTGAATACCCTAATTTTACAAACGTGTTTCACCTTCAAGATTTATGTATTTGGAATATCTGAGACTAGTACAATTTTTATATTTTAAATTCATAATTAGAATTAAAAATTAAGTAAAATGGGAAGTGGGGGCAGGGGAGAGAAGATAACCTGATGCTATAAACATGATGCTTCATCATCCCATCTAATAAAAAAGTAATTTGCAAATTGACCATCACTCCAACACATAAGATGGCCACCCCCATGTGGTCAAAGATGGCTGCCCCCATGTGGACACAAGATGGCCGGCAGGGGAGGGCAGTTGGGAGGGATTAGGCATGAAAGGAAGGGCAGTTAGGGGCGACCAGGTCTGCAGGGGATAACAGTTGGGAGGGACCCAGGTCTGCAAGGGAGAACAGTTTGGGGGGGGGGGCACCAGGCCAGCAAGGGAGAGCAGTTAGGGGTGACCAGGCTGGCAGGGGAGGGCAGTTAGGGGCAATCAGGATGGCAGGGGAGGATAATTAGGGGCAACCAGGCCAGCAGAGAAGGGCAGTTAGTGGCAACCAGGCTGGCAAGGGAGGGCAGTTAACATAATAAAATGTTAGCTTTCACATTACTGAGAGAAAGCAAGACCCCTAACTCTCATGCTGGCAAAAGCTTGGTTTTGCATAAACCATTTCCAGTCTCACTGTTATAAAACCAATGACTTTGGGAAGGGAAGAAAACACAGAATGACGTGCAAAGTAGAACACACCATGTTATAGCAGCTGGATAAAGAATATGTCACTAATGACTTTCTTTCTACCCCTCAATTAAACGTTGAAGGTTTGTTTCCAAAATAGCAAGCAAGTGGCCTTCATAAGTAAAAAGCAGAAGCAGTGAAATTCAAAATACTATTAAATTTCTACTTGATTTTGATACTGCATTAGATAATGGAATGAGTTATTAATTATTCATTGGGAGATGACTTCCTTTTCTCTTCATTTGAGAAGAACATAAGATGTCTGAACCCTAGACAATTTTCTATACTAAATTCAAAATAAAATTTTAATCAGATAACTATTGCCAAATATTCACCTTAAATGAGATATTTATTATCCATGACCAATAGGAAGACTAACCTGAAGCTGTTTGGAAATTCAGAAACATAATCTAATAAACTGCCCAAATTGTTAGTGCAAGTGACAGTAATGACTGTCTGTAAGGAACAACTTATAGAATTAATTAATGACTTAGGATTCTATTCACGATAGCAAAAATTAATAATACAGTACTTCATTTCCTTAAAGAAATCAACAAGAGAGTTAGATTAGTTCTGTAATGTATTGATTGGGATTGTCTACTTCTTAACATGTAATAACATCAATCACATAACTTCAAAAATTAAGATATACATCATCATCAGGGTAAAAGGTTATAAAATTTTAAATCCTGTGAAATCTGTTTAAGATTAATCAACCTATCAACATATGGGCATGTTAATAATAACAATGACTAAAACTTACTCTCATGAGTCCTTTCTTAAGTGCCAGGTAAAATGCTAAAAGCTTTACATGTATTAATTCTCTTAAGGAGCCTATGGGATAGATACTGTTATTATCCCCATTTTAGATCCTAGGGATTCAAAACATAAAAAAGACAGTGTCTTGCCCAAAGTCAATTATGTAGTAAATGGCAGGGCCAGGATTTGAACCAGTATACAGGCCTCAGAACCCACCCATAAACCATTATGTACAGCAAATTCTATAAACTCTGTTTTTATAGGTGCTACAGTTGACCCTTTCAAAGTATTGATTTAGATTCATAAATAAAGCTATTACATTATGACTTAAGAGGAAAGACTAAACTTGTATTTAATTTAATTTGTTCATCATCTTTGATATGACATTTTTTATTTTAATACTTTTTAGTTAAGTAAATTAAAAACAATTTATCCTATCATCTATATGTTATAGAATAATAAAAAGAGAGGCCGAAAATTTCATTCTGTAAACATTAAAAAGAATAAAAGTTCAAGGACATACTATACATTTACCTCTCATACATTAACAAATATTAGAAGTAAGAAATTAATGTTAGGGTACAGACAATCAGCAAATGTATTGTTATACAAAATAACATCTCCACATTGATTTATTTTATATTTCATATATTGTACCTTTAATTTCTCCAAGAAGTTCACTGGTATTTAGTCTTTCCATTTTTTCCTTCCAATCTTTTGATAGTAGTTTTTCCATGCAAGAGGAATCTGATAAAATAAAAAAGTAAGGATTCAAGATATTACATATATATTTTATTTTATAAGTATTAAAATATTACAAATCCAAAAAGCTAGTTTATGAAGAAACTCTATCACTTAAAAATGATCAAAGCTATTTTTTGTTGTTTTAACCTTAGGATATAAACAATTATATTACTGTATTATAAAATAACACAACTAATTTTTTACCAGATTATTTAAACTATTCCTAAGAATACAATGCTCAATAAACTTGTATTGTTATTACAATTATAATTATATCAATATTCAGTCAGCATTTAGCATTTCTAAGACTGATAAGACAGAAAAAGGGTCCCTTTCCTACAGGTTTAAGTTTAGAAAATATTCCTTTTAATCCAGGTGATTATGTTTTAATTCCAAGCAAAATTCATGTGCTACTCACAGAAGAATGACAATTCTTAAAGGGAGAAAACATCAATCAACCTATAACCATGTGTTCTTAAAAAAAAAAATACAGCAACTTTCATATAATACCCATTTATAGCAAAATGCAAAGAAAATAAAGTCCATATAATGAAAACTGCTACTATAGTTCTCTTGTATAAAAAGAGAAGTATATATTCTCTTCAAGAAAATTTAAACAATTTTCCCTGCTGCATTTCTAAGTAGCACACTAGATTACAGGGAGTGATTACACTTGTTTCTATAAAGATTCATAAAGGTTACAGAAATTTAAACCAGAATATTCTAATAATTAGCACATTTTCCTCAATGTGTTCTTTTATCTCTATATTCAGATGGATCTGAAACTGACGCTACTGCTTGAAACTATTTACATGTATCTTTTGAGCCTCAAATCTTAACAAATAGGACGTATTTCCAAAAGAGAATGCAGACTTAAATACTAAACCCTTAGTGTGAAGCATACTCCCATTAAACTTTAACATTCCAAGTGTCAAATTCTGATAACTTCTTTTTAAATTATATTTAAATTGTTACTCTGTATCCAAATGCTTCTCCTCTCCCTATCAGTACCTTTCTCTTTAGCATTTTTTCCTTTCTTTTTTTTTTCTTCCAACTTCTAAATCCTTCTTGAATTTTTCAGAATGACAGTAAGGTCAAGATGGATCTAAAGGGTTTTCGAAACTAGATAAGCTTTAGAAAAAGACAGCGAGCCCGGGGATAGAGATGAGAAGACTACTGCACAATTAGAACGTATTGGCAAAAAACAATTAACATTTGTCCATGACATGATCAATCAATCAAGGAATGGATGGAATCCAGATCAGTGCATCCTGAAATGCCTGATGAAGAACAACAGTACTAGTGCGGTATCTCAGAAGCTAAAGTTCTTTCTAAATAGAAGCCAGCTTGATTCTATTAAGAGAAAGCTCCCTGCCCCTTCCTTTACTTCTTCCCTTCTTTATTTCCCTCCTTCTTCCTTTCCATTCTTTCCTATTAAAATTGTCTTGGGCTTCAACGAGTGACCTACCACTGTGATTAAAAACTGGATTCTGAGTGACCTTCCAATAGGGCCTACATGCATACCCATATGTTCAGTCTGTATTTAATTTCCAAAATGGTTTCTTGCCACATTTATTTTTAAATTCAGAAACAAGATGTGTACTTTGGTCTATACATATTTTGTATTTTTGCTGAAGTCATAAAAAAGATAATACTGAGTCTTCAAAATTTGAAGCCAATCTTCAAAGCCGTGCCTAACAGAGATTACATTTTGCAAATAGGGTTTAAATGTCTGAGATATATTGATATAACATCAGATCATGGATAAGAATAGTCAACACAACATGTTCAACTTTCTATCCTACCCAGTTTTGTTCCTTTTTTTATTGCCCTTTCATACATGTTATAACAATACACTAAACTGCTAATCACTGATACAAATGCTAATATATAACTTGTTTGATTAAAACATGAGTTGAGAGCATATATTATAATCATAAAAAACAAAAGCCCAATTTTCTAGTAATGATCACAAACTCACAGCAAGTTCATAAACTAGTATTAGAAACACAATAAATGTAAAACATAAAAATATGTCTCTCATTTCTATAAATAGACCTGAAATCTTTCTGAGCTCCAGGAAAAGAATGCTTAAACTCCATGAGAGAAAAATAGAACTATATGGACAACAGGAACACACACTTCCAACATAAATCAAACCATGTGGACACAGCTTTACATAAAAGCTACTCATTAATAAAATGGTTAATAACTTCAAAGCATTTCACATTACTATTGGAAAATTAATTCTCACGATAATGATAAATTGATCTAGCCATATAGTTCCTATTTCAGTAGAAGAAGCTGAGGGGGGACATAAAGCAGCCTTTGCATATCTCTGTTATAGTTCATGAAAATATGTAATAACAACTACTGATGGCTTTTATCTATAGGACAAGTCATACAACTCACTAAATACAACCTTATCAGCATTTAATCTCAATGCACAGAGATTCTAGAGAGATTCAAAACACTGAAAAATCTCTTGACAAACTCCCAGCTTCTCACCTAATTATCTGACTGCCAAACTTCTAAGAGCTTACCACAATTAGTACTAAGCTCACTCCATACTGTAATGGAAAGCCAAAGAGGAAAGGATAAAAGGATGCAAAAATTCAGGTTGTTAACAAATACTACCTAAGCAGAGGACTGTCATCACCGAGAGGTTTCTGACTTGAAATGAGGAAATGTGTAATAAACATATACATAAAAACTTATTTTAATTTTTAAATATTTTATATTTTAAAAATTTAAGATTCCCCACTCAAAACAATATCCAGGTAAGGGTGGAAATTAAAAGTAAGTATTCATCTCCTTGTACTACATGCTTCACTACATTAATAGGACACCAGCTTTACAGAGGTAATTGGTCAGATCAGACTTTGCCCCAAGTACAGATACAAAATCCTAAGAGGTCAAATACGTAAAGAACTCCAGTTTGCATCGTGTAAGAGTAGGAAGGAGCATGCAGAGTGGCTGTAGCTCACCAGTCAGTCAGGGTTCCAAATGGCAGAAAGGTACTGAACATCACCCAGATATTCTTGGATTATTTATTCAGATAAATGTGCTTTACATGATTAAATTGAAAGCAGCTAAAAAATTTATGGTGGTGCCATAGTCCTCAAATCATTAAGACAATACACAGCTTATTTCATGATCTAACTTTGACTATTCAAGTTTCAGTGTTTTGACTGAGTTGTCTTCAGCTAATACATAGGAGAGGAGCTATATACCTTTTGGAAATTGAGATAAAGAACTATAACATTATGGTATTTTAAAAAGTCACCATAATATGTACATATTAAAAATGAATGTAAGCTACACACCTCAGTATAAAAGTGGAAAATATCAAATTTAATTCCTCTTACTTTGAAAGAATTAACCTCCAAAGCCAATACATAGTCAATAAAATACAGAATTTTATTATATTTATGTCATTTTGTAAATAATGTATTTAAAAAGGACTATGGAAAATCAAGAGCTGGACTTGGGATTTCCCTTATATTTAAATCAAAGATGTAAAAGGTTTTGATACATTATAAATTAATTTTCAGTTGCACAGTTTTTGTTGTTTGTTTTTTCTTTTTCTTTGCAAATTTAAGTTTTTAAAGAAACTTTTCCTAGGGAACAAGGAAAGGCAATTCAGAACTAATTTTTCATAAATATCCTGCATAACGATTGCAAAGCAGTGTTTCTGCTTCCTAATCAACTAGGTTTCAGTCCATATGAGTCAAGAGTGCTTTTTATGCTAATAATTAATTTTACAGTGCAAGAGAAATTCAAAGTGAAAGTATGTGGGATATTTATTTTCTAATCTGTGTAGTATTTTAAAAACAATTTAAAATGATTTCTAGTAAACAAAGTCGAGGCCGTATTAACACTTATTCTGCACAAAATAAAGATATTTCAAGTGGGTCAAAGAGAGTACATTTTTTTAAAAAATCATCACTAAAACTAAATCATAGGGAATGAAAAAAAATGGAAAAAATCATTGTACTTTAAAACAGTTGACCTGTGAGTAACCACTTATTATTCCATTTACCTCACATGCTAAGCCATTAGAAACATGATATAGAAAATATCTTTAAAGTATTTTAGTGAGAAAAAATAATGGCTGCTGCTCCTCTGTGCAGATTTCCTACTGCTTTATTAACTCTTTTAAGAAAATATTGAAACAATTCATTTATTTTTACCATAGGGATTATACATTTCAAATGCAATAATTTTTCTCTGTATCCAAGAATAATAACTTGTCAAAAGTACCCTTGACCTTGGTTTACAAGTAATCTGACAATATATATTTATATCCTTGCTGATCATCCCATCCCACATTTTTCCTTAGGAAACAGAGATATACAAGCCAGTTACTGTACATATTTCCACAGTGATAAGTGCTTCAGAATACAGTGGGATAAAATTGGAGCTTGGAGAGCTTGAAGAGCACTCTTAAATTTTAATTAAAACCCTCCAAGCTCACTAAAAATAATTAGACACTAAAATGTGCCAGTTTTATTTTGAAGTCACGATAACGTATAAAGCACACTCCCTGACAACTGCTTGTGCTCTCCTCTCTTTCTCCCCCTCTCCAATGAAACAACTGATTTTCCAAATACGAACAAGGGGGTATAAATAGAGGCTGTTTTCAGGCCTGCCCTTCATGCTGGGAAGCTGACAAAAAAGACAGCAGAGTGGGTTTTTCAGGCTGCACCAAATGAAACTAGAATAACTTGCCTAACCAAGAAGAGTTCGAATCACTGACAAACCCTAGATAAAATGCAGTCTGCAAGGAACAACACGAGTTGTATCACTGATCTTTCTGATCCAAAAGTCGAACCTTTAACCTCTTAAATGTTTTTGCTATCTTAAAATATCTCATACAATGCTATATTCCACCCTATTTTTAGCCAAGCAGCAAGAGAAAGCATGCCTTTCCCATACAGCAGGGAATGATATAAACATCAACACAGATGCTCTGCCAGGAAGAGCTGGACTTCTCAAGCACT